TCGGGAGGTCACCTGTTCGACCCAGGTAAGCAGCATTTCCTTTTTTTTTCCTCTTTCACCCCACACCATTCTGTCCACAGACTGCGCTGAGGAAGACGGCCGTGTAGGCCGACGTCGATGGATTCTTTTTGGAAGGATCGTGCTTGGCTGATGAGAGATATGCCGCAGTACGATAGATGAGCTCCCGTGCCGGTCGGGCGGGCATTGGTGCCGAGATGAAGACGCGGATGCGCAGCGGCACGTTCACGAAGAAAGTGTGACGTGATGTCACGGTACCGCTGTGATGGTCCCATTGTGAGCGGCAAGATGTATAGCATGGTCACCATCGATAACGCTGTATCAACGCAGCTGCCACTCGCCATTCTTCGAGCTCCAAAGTAACGTGCGCCAGACCCAAGCATTTCGAGCCGAGGAAGTGATATTGCGGGGAAGCGCTGCCGACGTGCGGGCGGCTGAGCCGATTCGAAACAAGGCGTTTTTGGCCCCGCCGACGAATTCTAGCCGGATCTCACCCGGCTTTGCGTCAAATTGAGTGCCGGCTGCTGCGGATGCGGCTGCGCTGCGCATCTGATGCAAGTCAGGGCAGCAGGCGTGCATTTGTCAAGACCGAAAAGCCCCCGCGTTCCTCCACACCTCGAGCTTGGCTTGCTCAAGCTTTCGAGCCAAACCGCCGAATCAACTTTGAGCTTCACGACCCCACCATCTTTGCCCTATTCGCCGAACATCACCCGACCAGCTCAGTTCAACATCGGCTCATCCGCACAGCATAGAGCGCAGCAGCCGTAGTTCCGTCGCCTCGGCTGTTGGCAACGTGACCTCGCCTCGCGCCACCCTCGGTTCCTCCGCATCGACACCAGCAGCCTTCCCACGCTTGCTGACGCTGGGCATCCCGGATCTCGCCGTCGCAGCATCTGCAATCATTATGGCTTTGTGAGCAGCCATCGGCACTGCCGTTCATCACCACGCTCTTTCTTCGCCGCCAAGATGCCGAAAGCGTCGGCCCCTCCACCGGCATCCTCGTCATCCGCCACCGCCTCCACGCCTCCGCCGACCAACACCACCGCGGGAGAAACCGGCCGCATCCGATCCAGCAGGGCATGCCTTCACTGCTCTCGACGCAAGGTCAAGTGCGACGGCCTCCAACCATGCAACAACTGCTCCAAGGACAATACCCTCTGCGAATACGGTGCTCAGAAGAAGCGCGGCCCTCCCAAAGGCTGCGAACCCAAGGGCGGTCGCAAGAAGAAGCTTTCGGACGTTCCTCCTGATGTCAAGCCATCCACCTCGTCCACTCCTTCGGTCGGCCCCCCAGCCAAGCGCAAGGCGCAACCGTCCACACACACCGAGGCTCCAGCACCACCACTGCCACCTTCAAAGCTCGCTCGCACATCGCCAATACACGCTCGATCTCCTCTCAGCAGATCACCCAGTAGACTGCCCAGCTTCAACAGCTCGCTGCCCCCTCCCAATACCCACGCATACTTCAATGGCTCAACCGACGCAGCCGCTGCTTCGCCTTCGCACTCATCTTCTTCTTCTTCAAAGTGGGACCCACTTTCGCATTCCAGATCCCTGGCCGAGCCAGTAGCATCCCGCTCGCAGTCCTACGTCCGCTCCCCGCTACCCACCCACGAGCGCTCAGCCACGCACTCACAGCCGCCACCGTCGTCATCCTACAACCCCTCTTCCTCCACCGCCGACCATCTGCCGTGGCCAAGAGGCGCCTACTCTCATCCCAGCACCTCCTCCAGCCCGTCCCTCTCAAGGCGCAACACCTATCTCAACGGCACCAACGCAGTCGATACCGCCTATCCCGCTTCCTCGTATCCGTCGACCACGCATCCATCCCGCACCACTACCTCCGCTCCCACGAGCCAGCATTACTCCCAAGCTTATTCGAGCCAGCATGCGCATTCGCATCACCAGGCAGACTGCCATCACTCGGACGCTTGGCCCGCCTCCTCCTCATCACCTGCGGATGCACGCTTCTCCCACGACCAGCCCGCCACCTCGACATACCAGTACGACTCGTATCCTCTCCAAGCCCCGCTTCGCGACTACCACCGGCCATCACCCCTCAGCTCGCATCGCTCCATGCCGCCACCGCCGCCCCACACGATGACCTCGCAGCCTCACTCATCCTACGACACCGCATCGCATCAAGACAGATCCGCCAACTCACCCTTCCCAGCACGATCCAACCCCACACCCTCCGCATCCACCTTTGCCTCGCCGCGCGCTCAGTCAACACGCACCTTGTACGAGAGCCCAAACCCTCACTACACCTCCTCGGGCCCATCACCGCTCGATCGCACGTCCGCCATGCCACCATCCACGACCGCCCTCGCCAGTCGCCATCCTGTCTCGGCCAGCAGATCCACCGAGCCAGCCAGCAGCGTCTCTCAGCACATCGCCTCCTTCGCCTCGACCTCGTCGCACGTCAGCGTCCCTACCACCTCGCCCGCCTTCACTGGCCCCTCTCATGGCTACAGCCCCTCCTCCACCGCCATGCCTCACCGTCCTTGGTATAACGGATCCCAGCCCTCCTCTCCGCGAGGCGCAGCGTCCATCCCGCGCTCACAGATCTCTTCGCCAGGCGCTCATTGGCTTGACTACCACATCCGCCCCGGCTCGGCTGCCGCGAATCATCCGCCGTCGACTTCACGCACGCATCTCGAGGATCGTCTGCCCCCTCACATCCTCCAGCGTCTCTTGGACATCTACCAGGTCTTTGTCCATCCGCACTGGCCGATCATCTATCTTCCTTCCTTCACATCGCTCCACTCGCTCAAGCGCTCCAGACCCATCGTCTTCGAAGCCATTCTCGCCGTCGCCTCCAACACGTTCGATCCGTTCCTCGACACCGCCGCCGGAGACGAGCAGCAGAGCGTCAATCCTCTCTTCGATGGCCTCTACGCCGAATCTCCGCTCGGCCTAGACCTCGCGTGGAAGTCGAACGAGCTGCGAGACCACTTCGTCAATCGCGTCAAGGCGCGCATCTTTGAAGGCAAGTTCGTGCAGGATATCGGGACCATCCAGGCCGCCATCCTCATCAGCGTCATCGAGCTCGGCTGCGGCAATACGTCGAGCGCTTTCCAGTTCGGCGGCATTGCTTGCCGCATGGCGCTCGACATGAACCTGCATCGCTATTCATCCCAAGCCTCGGCCTCCGCTGCTCCCTCTATCCATGGCGATGGCGGCGCCACCGACAATGCAGATGGCGAAAGGAGCGAGGCGCGCAGATCGGGCTCGCAGCTTCAGGAGCGTCTGCGTGTCTTTTGGGCGTGCTTCATCCTCGACAAGATCCTCTCCACGGCGCTCGACAAGCCTGCGCAGCTGCGCACCGCCGAGATCGAGTGCGACTGGCCGTCGGTGCAAGAGGCGGACGAGTACGATCTTTGGATCAACGAGACTACGCGCAAGTTCGTCGACAAGGGTCAGCTGACCCGGCTCGAGGGCGTAAAGGTCCATGCACTCAGCAGCTTCAAAGCCTGGGCCGAGGTCATGGCCATCCTCGAGCGCATCCTCGAGGAGGTGTACAGCCCGCAAGCCAAGCGCGATCGTCGCCGCACCAAGGGTGCTTCGGACTACGAGGCGCTGCTGAGGCTCAACGACCGCCTGTCAAAGTGGCGTGCCGACCTGCCTTCTCACCTCAAGTGGTCCGGCACCTGGACTTCGCCCGACGTGCTCTTCTCGGCACAGTCGCAGTCCGCCTATGCCGACCGCAAGGAATCGGATCCACACCGCGGGCTGCCGCCCCAGATCCTCACCATGCGCGCGTGGTACTGCACCTGCCTCATCCTGCTCCACCGACCGCGTGTGCCCAAACTGGTTGAGGGCCCCAAGGAGCATGCCACCGGCACGTCGGAAGATGCTGATGCCGCAGCACAAACCGATGCAAAATCCCCGGCAGCCAAGAAGGGCAAGAAAGGCAGTCAAACGTCTGCCAAAGACAAGCGAAGTCCCGCCGGCCTGGACATCTGCAATGCCGCAGCAAAGGAGGTGTGCGACATCCTGCATGTCTACGGCTCGTCCTTCCGCATCCGCAAGATCTCGAGCAGCTGGGTCTACCTCATCTTCCAGAGCGCCACCATCCACGCCGCCCTCGCTGCCAGCAAGAGCGTAGTGGCGTTCAAGGCACGCCAGTCGTCCATCTGGAGCCGGCGCGGCTCCAAGGTCGCATTCGGTGAGCTGGGTGCGCCTCTCGCGGACGACCACCACGAGCTCAGCGCGCGCGCGGACGATGCAGAGGGTCATGCCAACGGGGCAGAGGCCTTCTCGTCCGAGGCGCACCACGTGCCCGAGGCCGAACTCGAGGGCGCGTCCGAGCTGGTCAAGACCAGCGCACTGTACCTCGCCGAGTGCGTGCGATATCTCAAGAGGATCGGGCCGACATGGCAGAGCGCGTCGAATCACGTGTCGGTTCTGCGCAACCTTTGCATCGCGAGTGCGCAGGCAAGACCGTTGAGTCCCAGCCTCAAGCACGGACGCGGTGTGGCACAGCCTGACCCGCAGGCTTCTAACCAGCCGGCTGGCACGGTGAAGCAGGAACCAGCTGCGTTTGACTCGGACCAACGAGGCGCCCCGGCTAACGACGTCGGTGCATCCATGCACGGGCATACGCATCAGGTGGACGGCGCGCCTGCCGGAGACCACGGCGAGCATGTTCCAATCACAGGGCACGAGGCAGGGGTCAACTCGCAAGCGTCGTATGCAGCGCCGATTTCCCAGCACGTGTACCATGAAGACCGCAAGGCCGAGACGATGCACATGCCCAGCGCCGCCACTGCAGCTGCCGGCACCACCAGCGAGCTGGCCATGGCGAACACGGATGGGATGCAGCCGCACTTTCTTGCGTCGCAGGGATATGCACCGCCTGCACATCCACCCGCGCAGCTGCTGCCGCCTGCTGCAGTTGGCGTGCACTCGCATCTTCCTCCGCCACACCACGCGCACCACGCGCACCAGCAGGCCGGGTATCCGATCAACGCGAACGACGCCGCGTTCTGGGCGTCGATGCCCGTCGCGTCCGAGGGGTACAACGAGTGGGACGAGTTCTTCCGCGCCTTCAACCCGGGCGGCGCCGCAGCCGATGTGACGGCCAACCCGAACTACCACCCCACCGCCGCCGTCGATCTGATCACCGCGCTGCAGGATCCGAATCGCCTGCTCAATGGGTTGCAGTAGGAAATACGTTCTGTAAACGCAAACAATGTGAGGATGGCCTGCTCAAATCACACGCCAACTTCACACGCGGTAGCTGAGGGGTATTGGATCTTGTGCTGCGTATATTGATTGCTCTGCCGTGCGTTCTCCAGGAACCAGGCACGTCTTTGCTACAGTGGGGCTATTCCAAAGGGCGGATCTTGAGGGCTTATACGAACTGGGAGGATCTATTCTTGGGCGTCGTAGTACTCTTCGAAGGCGGCGTCTTGGTAGTCGTCTTCAAAGTCGCGTTCGTCGAGAGGTTTGCCGGACATCCAGTCCCAGACCTTTGTGAGCAGCGACTTGGGCTGCGCAATATCCGTGTCATCGTTGTCATCGACATCCTCGCAGTCTTCGTCGTCGCCATCGGGGGTGGGGTTTGAGGAGGGGTTGGGTGTCGATGTGGGTGTGGCCTGCATTGAGCTCTTGAGGAGCGGCGGAATATCGTCTGGGTGGATATAGCTCGGGTCGACCGACGACGTAGTCTTGACCGATTCGGCAGCCGAGGAGGTCTTGGACGGAGCCGCTGTGATGCTAGGTTTGGCAGTTGCAGTAGCAGGAGCCTTATCTGACGCCGTCGTTACCGGAATCTTGGCGGTCTCGGTAGCTACACCGGGAATGGTGAGTGTGAGCATGGTCGAGTAGGTCGTACCGTCGATAATCCCCGTTAGCGGAATCGTGAGCACCCCTGTGGCCTGAGGCTTGAGCGCCGAGAAGGACGACAGATTGATGGGATCGGTAGGAACAGCGACAATCGCCGACGCGGTCGAAGTCACCTTTGCATCATCCGCCGAGCTCGAACTCGAAGCCGCCGTGCTTGAAGCAGAAGCAGAAGAGGCGCTGGCGGTGGAGGTGGCAGCAGGTACAGAGGCTGCGCGGCTCGGGGAGCCACCGAATGCCTCGGCGGGAACGAGGATGGTCATGGTCTTCCACTCGTTGATCGCGTCCGCATTCGCGTTGGCGTTCGCCTTGATATTGGCCAGATCACCCAGCGACGTAGGCATGGCCGTGGACGGCAGTGTCACCGTCATGGTAAGGTCTCCCGTTGGCGAGGCAGAGGGACTCGATGGGTTGACAGTCGTGGCTCCGGCGTCGGAGTCCTTCAATCCGCCGCCGAGGCCGGGAAGGGCGGGAACAGACGCAGAGGGCACAGCTGGTGCACTGGGTACAGCGCCCGTGGGAAGCGCTCCTGTCGGTAGCGCACTCGTGGGTAGGCCCGAAGTGGGTACACTGGGCACACCAGATGTGGGCACACTAGGCACGCCCGAGGTAGGAAGCCCCGATGTGGGCACCGCAGGGGCCGCAGGCACGCTCGATGCTGACGGCACACCGGGTACCGCAGGAGCAGGCACACCGGGCACAGCAGCGTTGCTCGACGGGCTGGGCGCGGGAGGCGAGGCGTAATCGCTCGGCACTGGTGCTGCCACCGGCACATCACCCGCCGCATCGGTCACCGCCGTCGTGCCGGTGGCACCTGTGGCGGCGTCGGTCGCACCAGTCGTTGCGTCGGTCACGCTAGTCGCGGTGTCAGTGACACCAGTGACGGTGTCGGGCACATCTGTCACTGCATCCGTCACACTCGCTGTACTGGGTGCTGCTGTACTTGGTGCACCGGCCGAAGCCAGCGGGGGCGGGATCTGTCTTGCTTCCCAAACAGCGTTGCGCAAGGCACGTCGGGCCTTCTGACCGAGCTGTGCCATCTGCTGCGCAATCACCTGCCTGTACTCGTCGCCCTCGTCCGGGTTTCCCTTCAACCCCGCATCGCCCTCGGCCACCTGTGCCGCTCCGGCGAGATTGCCAATCACCTGCTGAAACGCCTGTCCCTGATCCGGGTTGCCCGCCAGCACCGCATCGGCATTCGGTGCCGCAGCGACATTCGACTCGGGAGCCACCTGGGACTGGGCCGCACCTGCCGGTGCCGGAGTGGGGTCGTACGTGTTGACCGCGTTCATGGTCTGGTTCGACTTGGCCAGTGCAGCCTGTGCCGCCGCCTGAATCACCTCTGCAAACGTCGCACCCGCTGCGGGCGCAGCAGCCGGTGCGTCCGGGATTCCGACGGCGTAGATGTCCTGTTCGTTCATCTGCGGCTGTGCCACACTGATGTACCCCGCTGGAGCAGCCGCATCGTCGCGCTTCACCAGCACCGGTGCGGCGTTCAACGAGCTAGCAACAATCAGTGCGAGCGTAACACTGCCGACGAGCGAGGCGAACTTGGTCGTAGCCACCATGTTGATGTCTTTGTGAGAGGATGACGACTGTCAAAGTCGAAGAGCGTAGAGAGAGGCAGAAGAAGAAGCGATAACCAGATCGCTAACTCTTTGCAAAATCCGTGTTCGAGAAGTCCGAAGAGAAGAAGAAGGCTACCAGAGCCTTGTACGATGGAATGCAGAAAAGACGTAGGAGAAGTCGCAGGAATCAATAGGGACGCAGAGAACAAGAACACCAAAAAGAGAGAGGGGGGCCGCAACGAAGAGATCACGAAAAAAGTTGGTGCCTGGTCAAGTTCTTATATGTTTTGCGATTCGCTTGCCCCCAGGCGCACGATTGGAAGTTGGATGCCCTCCACCCCCAAGCTGTGCCTGAGACCACGCCGAACCAAGCAAGACTTTGATGAGGGGTTGAGTTGCTTTCTACCTCGCACGCTGTAGGTTGCATTGAGGGGCTAAGGCGGCGGAGCGCCGGCGTTGGGCCGACACACGTGCAGTGCAGTTCGTTCGAAGGCGAAAGCATATTGCGCCCCGCACTGCACCTCCACGCCGAGAGTATCTTCTACTCTCACTCCCTCCGCGATGCCAAGCAGTGGCTGCTTTCATCTGTCTCGCGCTGCGCCGTGCCGTGCCGAGTTGCACGAGGTTGAGCGTGCACAGTGCCGAGAGTGGTGAGCAGCGCTTGCAGGATGGCGCTTTTTGACGTGTCGCATCTGACGTGTCGGCCAAAATTTTCCGCCAGCCTTCCCACCTTGCCAAATCCGAGCTGACACCTGCTGCCGCCGATGCACACCGCAGTCTCGGCCCCCATCGCATCCAGCTTTGACCTGCACAAGACGATAGTCCGAAATCATAAGCATGCCTCCGACGCACCCTTCGCTCGGCGCCAAATTGCCGAGGTGAAAAAGGGTGAGGAGAGCAAGGCTTCCCGAAAACTTCACCAGACCGCTGCGGTATCTGCTTTTGCCAGCCGAGACGCCTGCATCGGATGCTCGCTGACGCCTCGTCGCCGCTCACGCAGACACACATTGGTTTGCTGTCTGCTTGTCACGTACCTTTGCTCTTCAGGTCATGGTGTCCCAGGTAGCAAAAAGGAAGCACGCTTCAGACAAGCGGCCGCAAAAAAAGCAAATCAAAGAAGCCAAAAAAAGAAAGGATTTTTGGAGACTGCATGAGTCGAACACGCGACCT